TTTTGTTTTCATAGTTTATTTTTCGATTTGTATGTTGTTTTTCTTCAAAATTTTTTGATTAATTAAGTTGTATATGAATTTTTATCATTACCCGGTTTCTCTTTCTTGATTATAAGTATGCTCGTTCCACTGCGTCAATGCGATTTCTAGAATCAAACTTGCTCTTAAACTTTATTCCCTCCTGTTTGAAGTTATCAAATCATTGGATCATATTTCCTACTGATTGTAAACACATGGATTCAAGTATTTTGCCACTTAAGCTAGCTATTCTTCTTGTTCTTTGGGTTTTTTTTCTGTCAGAGGAGTAAACAAGAAAAATCTAATTTACATATTTAAAATTAATAGACACACGAACCAGGTAAAGCTGGAATTAAGTGCTTGAAGATATTGAGATGTGCACTAAGAATGGAGCTTCTTTATAAAAGGTAAAAATGTCTATATAGACTCCTACAAGAAAAAGAGAGACCAAAGGTACAAGAGGAATTGGGGAATGCAATGGACTGAATAGCAACTAAAAAATAGTTTACAGGGGAGGAACTAAAAAATTACAATTGTACATTCATAGTCAAGAAATAATTTGAATGGACAAAATCGAATTTCGAAAAGTTCATAGATATTATGTCATGTGTGGTGAGTGTTTGGTCTCACTAGATATACTGATGTAGTATATTACAATGTGTAAATACTTACATTACAAGAACAAGTTTGCTAAGCTAACTCAAACCTTAAATTTTTATAGATAGTTAATCGAATGACTTATTTGATATAAAAGTAAAAAAGAATAAAGAACTGACTGCAACAATAAAAGGGTGAAATTAAAAAATACATGAAAGCTAGGAGTTCACAATTAAACCTAAATTTTACTGGTCTAATTCTAACATAAAGTGAATTTGGTTGTGAAATAAACTAAACACCCCACCCCATTCCTTGCCAATTCTGAAAAGCTATAGAGATATCATTGTGTTCTAATGCCAAACCTTATACAAGCAAGTCACTGGAAAAGGAAAAGACTAGACAAAAGATCAATGAACTAGGGATGGTAAGAAAAACTAATTTTACATGGTTAACAAGCACCGTGGTGAAAAGTAAAAATTGAGAACACAAGGAAAATAATAGATTTTTGTTTCTTCTTTCCAGAAAATTTTACCGGGGCAGGAAGGAAAAATACCGGATTCAACACAGCCTGTGAAACATCAAGGCTTTAAGATAGAGTAAATATCTGTGCTGGCCAACTGTGCTTCCGACCATCAGCTCCGACTCCGGTAGTTTCCATGGAAATGTCAATGCTGCGATGTTCAGAAGCACGAGCGATACTAATACGTAAATGAATTCTTGCAGCAGGACAGACATCTGTCCCTACCGCTCCTGATCTATCAGTACTCTGTTTTCCCACTACCATTGCTATAGGTTCCCGGAAAGTCAACAGAGTTTGTGACCAGTGGGTTTTGGGAGTGTATGGTGATGTGGATAACACGACGGGCGTTTCTTTGCAAAACCTGCTGGTGAAGCCAGTTTCAAACCATAACACAACTCCATAGCACCAGTTTAAACATTCTGACTTGTTTGATTCATTTACTGTATTTTCTAACTTGGGTTCCAGCTCAACACTTGCAGTGAAATCCACGTCGTCATGCTTCATTGTTGCCAAGTCAAAAGTCTGGAAAGAACAAGAAAAAAATTGCTTTCAGACTTGAATACAAAATCCAAAAGATTATACAGAAAAAATAAAAAATCCTCAAAAGTGTTTTATTTAAAGTGGAAGCAGAAGAATTGGTTACTAAATGACTAGATATCAATAACACCTGCATATGTAATAAGTCTCCGCAATTATCTGCACTAAAAAAATGCGTAGCTATTAACAACTGTTTTTCCACCTTGTTCGACTAAAGTTCAAAACCTTAATGTTGAATCTATACCAGATACCAGAAAATACTGATAAAAGAAAATCCAGCTGTGTCGAAGAAGCTAAGTAGACAAATAGATCAGATCTGCAAAGCGTTAATACCACTATTCTGTAGAAACACCAGCATGCCCCTCAGAGTAACTTTCACCAAATATTGCTACTATAACTCGTTAGCTTAAGACATGAAAGAAGAAAACTTCACTGAAAGGGCTGAAAACACCTTGAATGAATGAATAACTAATCCAAAATGACTACAGGTTTAAAAGTGATTCAAAAGTTGGTATACTTCAAATTTAGTAACAACTCATCCTTCGTGTCTTTCAAATAATAGTCCAATGGTTTTGGATCCCTTAACTTCAGTTAGCAAGATTGTAAATCCCTAGGATGGTCAAGACCGATATTCAGACACAAAACAAACAATCATGGGCTAAACCAAGAAAACTAGCAGATAGGAAAATTGGAAAGCCCATCATGCTTTTATCCGAAGGCAACAGAAACTAAATTAAAGAATCAACAGAGATTAACAAGCCTACTAAAGATACAGCAATTGAGATTAACATGCCAACCAAAAGTACTATCTCATGTTTAAAAGATGAAGACAAGTTTAACCTGGAGAACTGCAGGACCCGTCAATAAATTACAATCATCTATAACATCAATAATAGGAATTCGAGCAGCATCTTGTACAAGTTCCTTGCCCACACAAGTCATATCAAAGCCATAAACATTTTCCCAAAAGGGAAGACTGGTACCACCTTTTCCAAATCCTGCAATAAACTAAAAAAAAAGTTGAAACAGGAAAACAAACAAAATCAGGTCCTACTACTGACTTCAGATTATGATTTGGAGAACTGACTTCTACAGAGCACTCACAATAGTTGCTGTATCAGGGAGGAGAGAACCTCCAGGTTTCAACCACTGATCCCGTGCATAAAGAACTGAGTTAAGCATTGACTCATAAAGTAAGCAATATCCCATCCATTCACTGACTATCACATCAACACTGTGGGGTTGAATGAGTATAGATTTATCAAGCTCTTCAACCATACATTGAACTACCTCAATTACCCCAGAACACTCACTATGGGTTTTATCCTGCAAAAGACCATTGTTTCTCGCAATCTGCACGGCATAAAACACATAGTTAGGACTGAAGAGGAAACAAAGATCTTGTATTTCAATCCATAGATCTTGGAAGATTAACCTGAGTTGCCACTGCAGCCATCTTCTCGCTGGCTTCAACTGCAATTACTCTTGAAGCCCCTGCTTGGGCTGCAAAAAGACTAATGTAAAATAAAATAATGAGAATACGATAATCAAATATTGCAGCATATGATGAACATTTCAAACTAGTTAAAACCCTAGTGTTGTGTCCCAACTATCTACCATAAAAGAGATTTAACTTGACAATTTAACATCTAATCCTTATGCATGTTCATGGATAAAGTACATCCCTAATCTGTTCATAAATTATTATTTACTTAACATAAATTTTTAAAAATTAGGGTACTAAAATTGGCAAAACTTGGCTCAAATTCAGATGTTATATAATATAACAGAGGTTGATGGAGCCAAAGAATGCATGAAGAATTACAGTCCCCTGAGGTAATAATGTAAGTCCTAGAATGATTTTAACAAATTGGGAAAAAATAAAAGTTATACTAGGTTACAGTTCAGTATAGAGCAAACTTCCACTCAAATAAAGAATGGGTTTGATACCTCATGAAATGCTTTTTTTTTTCCTGTAGAACCTTCACATCTCATATTGAAATAATTTTTTCAGATGGTACAACAACCATATACTATTTTAGATCCTTCCATAGAATGTCCTGATAGTTCACATGATTTTCACAATCAAAAAAGAATTCAATCATGAAGTGTTCAAATTCTATGAGAAATTTGCAAACAGAAGAAAACAAAACAGAGAACAAATCAGTAAGCTATCAAAAGACAAATAGATAAACCATGTCACCTCAATATTCCCGTCCCACAACCAATGTCCATTACAATAGCACCATTAAAGACGGAGGGATTTTCTAAAATAGCTTGCTTGTAAGCATCTGTTCGTACCTGCATAAGAGAAACATAAGAAGCTTCAGGCTAATAAACAAATGCATCGAATTGCTCAATCAACCAGTCTGACAACTTGAGTTTACAACACTAAAATTCAAATTCAATTTCTATACAAATTTGGGACAAAATTATAGTACCTTGTCACCTAACATCTCCCTATGGATGCCAAATGAACTATAAGATCCAAAATAACTCTCATTCACCTTTCTGGCATCCCTTGCAACTAAGTTCATAATAGAAACTCGTGAATGCTTATCCTTCATGTTTTTATCGTATGATCCAACCATTCTTCCTGAAACTATACCGTTGGCCGTCCCCTTCTCCACAGAAGTTTCTTTGGTTAGATCTCCATTGGAAGTCAAGGAAACATCTTTACTTACTTTTCTGTCAGAAATATCATTATGTATATCCAAATTCTCCTCAGAATCCTCATCATTGATGCATATTTCTTCTATATTTCCCAAATACTTCAAAAGTTCCTCTTTTTCAAATGATGTGGAAACATCTTCACCATCTTCATCCCCACTAAAACTATATAAAAGTGAATCCTCTTGCATGAAAGGTTTTAAGTATCTATCATCATCCAAAAGAAGCTTAATGTCTTCAAAATTGACAGTTTCATGCAGATGATTCTGCAACTCTTCCTTGGACTGACAGATAAGCTTGCAGCTCCAACATTTGTTTACTGCCACCTGGTAAAGAACGGAAACAGAAATTAAACAAAATCTAAAGCAGTCCTTTAATATGGCATAGAAATTTCCCTTTAACTTGAAGTCAATGCATAGGAGTACAATTTTGAATAAGAGTTATGCAATTTCAACAAGGACATGCTCTGATTTTTCATTTTTTTTCATTATAGCGACAATTATCAACAACAAGACCTTTATTTAAGAAAAAATTCAACAACATGACCTCAGGCACAAATTTCGCAGTTATAACAAACTTGTTTTCTGAAATGGAAAAGATTCATTGGAGCTATTTTATCTAACTATTTTGCAGATAGTTTTCTTTTCATGAATAGAAAAGGAAATTGAATTGTAAACTAGACATGTTTGGTGTTCTGAGAACCATTTGAATCATTATGCTACTTGATTCAAAAGGTTCTTGACGGCTTGCGCTATATTTTCTCACTTTTTTTATGGATTCAAAAGAAAATATATTTTCTTACTTATATATATCCTATCTCATCTTTATATTTGTCAATCTGGAAGTACTTCCCAAGTGCAGGGAAATGATTTAGTTCCAGAGCCAAAGATAATAGTTCTTGAAAGACTAATTGAAAGGATTCTGGAGCATCCTCAAATTTAGGTATTGTTCCCCCAATGATCATAATACCAAGTACTTCTTGATGTGCTCTGATATGATCTCATCTATAGTTAAGCATCTCTGTAAAATATGAGCAACACCAAAACCCTCTAGAGTCCAAATCTTCACTTCTCCTACCTTCTCGCCCCCTGCTTGGACCTGCCTCTAAGGGCTTATTGTGTAACAAGTGCATAATGACCACTGAAACACGCATGTATTTTATTATCAACTTGATGAGATGAACTGATTTCAAAATACAAGGCTTCCCCTGGAACACCCACGTATTTATCATCAAGTTATGTAAAGAGCATTCTGCTTAGCAGGATTAGAAATCAGGAAATTCATATACAATTTACAGGAATAAATGTCCGAGGACTCCTATAGCCAGGATGATTAGAAAGCACCATAACATCTAAATTATGAGTAATATAGATCATATCAACGACGTCTTGCTCAATTAAATTTCTGAAAGAAAAAAAAAAGTTCGAAGAGATAGAACCATTATCACAAACCAAAGCAGCGGAAATGGGATAGAAATGATCTCTGGATGGCCTAAAAAATCTGAGGAAGCAAGAAGCAAGAGAGGCATTTTCAAACCAAGATCCCCCCAGAAGAGAAATCGCAAGCCATCCGAACCCTCAACTAAGAAATGGTAAAAAGGAGATATAGAAAACCAAAAATAGTTTACTTGAGCTCTTGTAAGCGCTTACAAATGCAAATTATTTTACTTCAAAATTAAAAGCCAGTACAAGGATTCAGGTGCATATCACCTATATTCTCACTTCAAATAATCGCACAAGTGAAGATAGTAAAAAAGTCTCCAGATAATTCATTAAGAAAATCGAAAATGAAGCTGCTATGGCACTTGCATTCTTCAAGTACATATTTTGGCAGAGATATGCTATTTACTGTTGCAATAACCAGGCATAAATTGAAATACAAGATAAAAGTTGATACAACAGGCGTTTAAATTTTGCAACTCTGTTCATACCAAAATATTTTCTTTTTTCTTTTTGCTTCTTTTCCTCCAAAACTTCCTAAGCAACTTTCCTCTCTAAGCAACCAAGGAACATGGAAGACGAAACCAGACAATAAAAGAACTTTTAAAAGGAAAGATATTAACCTGTGATCGAACATAGTTAATGAGCTTAAACGAACCGTAGAAATCCAAACCCAACGCGCTCCTAATGCCATGGAAATCGAAGTGGTGGCTCGAACGACAATGCTCGAAAAGCGAAATGCAGGAATCGTACTTTGTATCACAGAACAAGCAGAGGAAATCAGATATCGAAGTGTCTTCTTCATCGTCTTCTTCCCACCAGTCGTCCCAACCTTCGCTTTCGTCTTCTGCCTCTTCTTTTTCTTCTTCTTCTTCTTCTAATCTCTTCGCTTCTTCATCAGAAAATTTTCTTTCAGCCATGACTGAAAGGCTTTGCTCGTTCATTTTGCTAATCAACCACAAAAAAAAAAAAAAGGTAAAACCCTCCTAAAACCCTACGCACGGGAGGGGCAACAAAAAGGAAAGCTTTGGGAAGGGGTAATGCTACGATGCATCTGAGCCATTATACGTTCAAGGATCTCAACCGTCTGATCTATTTAGCAAATCCTAGCCATTCAATAAACCAATCAAGTTACAACATAAAGTAGATATACACCCAAAAAGCATATGAACTATTCAAAAATATCCAAATAAGTCTTTATACTTCATATCAATTGGAATAAACTTTCTATTTTTAAAATTTATCCGCACTACCCCTCGTTATCAACGAATGTTATAATCTCATTAGCTTGATGCTCGCGTGACAAACATTTTTTTACTGTATTTTAGTATAAGTAAAATAACATTTGTTTGAAAATATTTTTAAAATTTTATAAAAAAAAAATTATTTAGAATTCTAAATTATAAAAAATGATTAATATAACGACTTCTCGTGTTAGAATAACTAAATAAAGTAACGGCTTAACATATTATTCAACTCGTTGATCATAATGCTCGAACAAGTAATCCTCCAACAAATTGGAGAGGAAAGTAATTATCCATCAAGAAATTTTTATAACAAAATAAAATAACTTTTCGAGAAAATATATTGAGTTTAGGAGAAGAAACAACGAAAAATATATCGAATTAAAAGAACGTAGAAATAGATTAGAAATGATATATACTCAATCAACAACAGAACGAATTCACCTCACGAACAAGTATACATGCTTGTTATAAGTGTCGTTACAAACACAATACATATTCACCGAAACTGAGAACACAAATATTTTTTCAGACCTTCCACACTTATTTTTTTCTTCTCTTTTTCTCTATGTTTCTTTTTCTGTTTCTTCCTAGGCTTTTCTAGCTTATCCTCGAGTTAGTCTTTACATCATGTTCTTTGTCTTGATGTTATTATTCAAGCCATTATGTAGGGGAACCTCTATCTAGCCTTCAAACAACTGCTTTCTGCTCAAACTTTTCAGACTACATGTTGTTTTTGCCAGCATTTCTTGACACATCTCTAGGGCCATTTGTTTATTTCTCTGAGTGTCGCCGAACACTGATTGGACTTCAGCATCATTTGCCGAAGTATGGGACTGGAGATGGTGATGAATTTGCTGCCAATTTAGTGATAGTCATGTAGTCTTGTTCCTCTCGTCATCTCTTGATTGGAATTCCTTGACGTAGTCTGAAAGCTTCGTGCATTAGAGTCCATCTTATTAAATGCGAGGTTAGCAATGGCTCTGTCAATGGAGTTGGTTTCTGATTCAACTGCTTTCTTTCTTCCAGACCTGAATATTCAATAATTTCTTGTGTTAAAAGAGCTCAATTATCTGTGAAATAATGACAGGGGACAGCTTATGGTATAAAAGCAAACACGTCCGTAGGCAACAAGGATCAAAGCCCGTATTGGAATTTAACACCAGGCAAGTTAATCTGATTGTGATTGCGAAGATGTCTCCTCAAGAGCATGCAATTATGTGGTTGATGATGCTAATAAAGCTTCTGATGATCACAGTATTTCTTCAGGAAAAAATAAAGCTGTTGATCTTGTTTACGGAGTATACAGAACAAAATAGCTAATCTCGCTGAAATTTATTATATCACATCATGAAGGAAATTATCTGATTCCAATTTTGACAGTTCAAAGGCTGACTTGCTGGATCCGGTGAATGAAGTTTTTTTTTTTTTTTTCGGAAGCAAGTGAAGCTTTACTAACATTTATAGGACCGAATAAAACAGTTCGTACAAAATGGAGAGGCAGGAAAGATACCTTATTTTCTCGTCCTTACTAGTACACAAGCGGGGCGTGTTTGTGGAAACACTTGCATATTGAGTATGCGATACAGATTGTTGCTCTGAATTCTGAGCAAGGCGATAGAAGGAATCACGGAAGCAAATCCTGGTCTTGTTAGTCAACTGTGTGAATTGGGAAAAAGAGACTTTCCTCAGCAAGTTTTGATTTCGTATTCTAATGTTATTTTCAACTTTAAAGATTCAAGTATTCACCTGCGCCATAACCCTTTCAAGGTCCTGCATCACTGATTCTTCAAGAGATGCTTGCTTAGCCACATGTACATTTGAGCTGCTCTCATCATGGTGAGCATAGACTTTAACCGACAGTGCCTTGAGAAAATACTACGATTAATTAATCTTTTGTGCCTAGAAACAATAAATAAAAATCTTATCTAAGCAGAGCTGTGACAGCATTCGGAAGGAAATACATTATTTATTCAAGTCCCTTTTTTCCATTTATAGTCTGTGACCTCTGGATTACATAATAGATACTCTGCAGTTATATCACTGTGAAGATTATCAGCAAATTATTTACGCATAACAAGTTTAGAGACAGTGATCATTTAGTAACTGCTATCAATGCCAATGACAAGCTTACTCGTTATCAATGCCAACGACCAGCCTTTTCAGCTTTGGATCACTATTCCTACTAGTTGTGCCTAAACAGATAGGGACATGGGATTATTTGATGTAGGAACTCAAGTCATCAAAAACTACATAGAGAATCAAATTCTTAAAATTTTCGTTATTAAAATAACATATTTTAAGTTGCATTTAAAACATTCAAACCAAATTTTCAGACATACAGAACCTACTGCTTACTCCACTATCCACATGTCAGAAGAAATCGACGCCAATCTCTGACACAAAGCCATATTATCTTCAAGTCAAACAACCAATAGAAAGGAGGTCACTCAAATAGAACACCCTAATTATTCTCCAAAGATCTTAGTCCAAATTAACTTCAATATCCACGTGTTAAATCCAAGTCTAAGGGCTATGAATCAGGTTTTTCCAGACAAAAGATATAAATCATGCACCTACTCTGCTATCCACATGTCATTTGGCTTCAACTTTTGGTTACAGCTTCTGCTGTAGAGGAACTGAAATTTTCCTAACACAAATATTGAGAAGCACTTTTAGCAAAAGCTGAAGTTAAAATAAGCTTTTAATACATATAAACATAGAAGCTAGTGACGTATGCTTCTTAGAACTGATTCTGGTTCACAGCATATATCATCTTTCTCATTTCCAAAATATCCTCACTGAAACTAATCAATCACCAACATATACTTAACAAACCCTAAAATCAATTCACAGCTTCTCTTCTCTTGATGCAACAGTTCCCACTGGTCTGTTGCAAATTTCAGCATGCGAAGCAGTCTCTACAAATAGAAATTGGAGCACTGTTGCTACTCTGTTCCTTTAACTCGTACAGAATCCGCGGGCCCTATATATTCTACTCGAGGACAAACATGCACCGTCAATTGGAACAAGCATGGTTGAGGCCCGTCGAAGAAGAGGCTAAATCCAAGCACGCGAAGAGAATCCCTAAACAAGTGAGGATTCAGAGAGGAGGCCAAAGAGACGAGAGAGTCTGAAGCTAAAGAGAAAAAGGGGTTCCTAAGGGAAAGCTCAAATGGGTAAGAGGCCAAAGAACATACCAGACCAATCAACTCAGCAAGCCTACTAATGGCATTATCATCAGACGACTCTTGATAAAGTTGATACATAACCCAGAATGCTCTCAAATACTTGCAAAACAAGCATCCTATTAACTACCTGGATATTATTTGAAAGGAGCAGAAAGTATTGTCGTTCACAAACTGTAGATGAGAAATCTCAAACAGTCTCTTCCGCAACACACAAACCTTCACCAAGACTCTTTCAGTTTGCAACTTAGACCATCCACACAATCATAAAAAGAACAGGGGAAGAGAGTCTCCAACCTCATGTTCCCCCCACAAAACCACGAGTTAGGTTTGTCATTGACAATAACAGCAAAAGACACCAAGGATAAGTACCCTCTAATGACAAGGAAAATAAACTGCTTTACTCCTCTCAGAAAAATGAATTGCTTCACTCGAGTAAGGTGCCACCCTAAAGTGAGACAATGCCTCTCCTCATTACATGTGAATAACGTTGTAATACCTACCACTTCACCATGGCAAAAGCATAGTACTTATGAAATTCTTTGATATTTGACATTTTCGGAAACAAACAAAAGGAAGTGGACTCTTTACATAATATTTTGTAAAAATTCATGCCTGTCTCCACACAATGAACTTTTGCTATTTATGATGATAGGCGTTCAACTGATTAGAAAAGATGTCTCAAGTAGAAATCTCTTTCAAGTATATAATTGTTCCAGGCCCCCACCCAAATTGAAGCAGTTTATTTTCGAAGTGGACAAACCAGCAGTCAGGTCTACTACATATGGCAGAGAAGTTTCTCTTAATGTGCCTTCAAATTGAAGCAGTTTATGTTCGAAGTGGACAAACCAGCAGTCAGGTCTACTACATATGACAGAGAAGTTTCTCTTAATGTGCCTTCATCTCCACAACTATTAACAAAAAGACAGGAAATCTGACCTTTACAGGATCTTCTGGCTCTGAGTTGCATGGAATGAACAATGGAGCAGACACTTCATCTTTTTCCCAACCCACTGATGGAGTAAATGCATGAGCTGTAAGAGTTTTGAGCTTTGTTTTCTAAGATTCTCGCTTGAAGTACTTCCAGTAAAAAGAAAAAACCATGCCTTTACCTGCTGATATCGTCCCACTTTGAGATTCAGAAGAAAAGCAAAATGGTTCATGAAGATCCTCGTTTCCAGGGTGATCCTCTAGCAATGAGTTCCTGCAACAAGGAAAAGAAAAAAGAAGTGAAGTCTAGACACAAGACACTCAGTTAGATTATCTAACGTGAAACAGCAAATAACTAAGACGTAGTGCAAATTTGGACATCTCAAAGATATTGAATTACTTTTTGTTACTAAGGCTAAAAATTGATTCCTTTTGTTAAAGAAAACACAGGTACAACACAGCAACACGAGAGAAAAATAGTGCAATTGTTACAGCTGATTCTTTTTTTTTTTTAAGATCTAAAAAAAAAAAAAAGAATCAGCTTTAACAAGGACACTGTTTTTCTCTCTTGTTACAGCTGACTCCTTAAGATCATTTACAAAGGTATGTAGTTCGATTTACCATAAGCAACTATACTAATAGCTGCACAGTTCTGAAATGGACCCACTCCCTGTGGACGATTCATTCAGATAGTAACACAAAACATTTAGCATATTCAATGTCCATGAGGTGTTCCGAGCATGCTTGTTATGAGAACCTAAAGCATTAAAGAAACCACGTGATTGACTATAGGCATTAAATCAAGTATCTTAGTCCCAAAAGTTAAGCTTGTACAAGAAAATCTCATCCATCTCTTCGATTCTTGAAAAGCCATCAAGCTGGTAGTTTTGTTGATCATGTAAATCCCTGGCGGAGAGACTCCTCCGACAATCATCCCCAGGCACTTGAATGGATTTCATCTCAAATTCATTAGAAAAGCCTCTGTAATTGAGTGATGAGTTCGGATGTTGATCCATCATGAAATATTTTTGGGGTAACTCAAAACCTTCTGGAGCAGTAGGACCCCACATGGACCAACTTTCGTCCGACATAAGCATATCCGATAATTCATCATCCATGGGAACCATAAGATCATCATTACAACTCCCAATAATCCAATCCATTAATCTATGTTACCTGAACAAGAATGTCATTAGATAAAAATTTAGCATATTACTAAAGAAATATTGGGAAAACATGACTTGGTTTAAAACAACTTCTTCCTTTCATCATTTCTTTTTTATCAGTTCATTAATATAACTCAAGTACTTACAGTTAATCAACTAAACAGTTAACGTTATTTTGAAAGAACTTAGTCCAAATTCTATAAATCAAGAATACGAGTGTTCAGTAACATCGTCCTTCAAGCCTCTAACTAGAGCAGTCCAAACCAAGTCCGGTTAACTAGATCGAAGAAAAACTAATTACACTTTAATTAGCCTAATACGCATACTAAGACAAAAAAAAAAGTATAATTAAAGTAGAAGTTGTATGTTGACAACAACAATTCCTCACATATTTTCCCTAAACAAAGTTGGAAATTTGCTAAAAATCAAATCTACCAAACACAGAGCACATATATGCAAGAAAACAAGCAGCAAAATAAGAAGAACACGAAGATAAAAAGTACCTGGCACTGAATCAATTAACAAAAAATGAAGAACACCCAGTATCCAAATATGAAAAACAAAGCAACCCAGATGAAGAAAAAGGCTGGAAATTGCTTGAGCTGGTTCAGATAGTTTAAACTTTTCTTCAAAAAAAAAAATTTAATGTTCAAAACCCAAAATTTATGGAGTACTGAATGTGCAAAATGGAGAAGAAAAGCTGTGCTTTGTAGTGAGAGAAAGTCCAGCTGGTGTGAGTGAGTTTGTGGCTGAGAATCAACGTTGAAATTTAGTGGCAGGAGAAAGCCCTCCATCTGAAACTCGACAATCATTGGTCCACGTGGCAAAAACTGGTCCATCCAGATCTGAAATCCATGGACGTTTTGCACAAAAATGTCTTGGTGAGGAGGCGTGGTGAGTCAGTGTCAGCAACCGGTTCATTCTTATCGGTATCAGCTGATTGATCCTGTCATCCCAAAGAGTGTCACTTTCGTTTAAAAGGTTGATGGGTTGAATTTGGGTGGAGTTTTGCTGATCTCTACATGAATTCCTATATAATTCAAGTTTATATAGGATTATAAAAAATAAAACTTTACATAATAAAATCTAAGTGTGCATTCAAATTATATAGGATTTGTCTGGCCCCAACTTCCCGCGTCTAGTGAGATATGAGACACACCTTCGATCCATTCAACATTCAACCAAGTCTACATCTCTTTGAGAACGAAGTTGGCTTTTAATCATAACTTTTGTTCATTTTCGTCTTGTTGATTGTCCGAAATAAAAAACTAAAAAGGGGTTTTAAGATTTTAGTAATAGATCAAACTAAGAGAATGAGAATATGATATCGGAGAATGATGAATATGTGGTCAGTTTGCGTGGAGAGAAAGAAAACGATGAAGTAAGCTCTGATAGTAGGAGGAAGTCTATAAAAAAAAAAAATTTACTAGTGAATTTAAATGAATAAACAACGATAGTGATATATATAAATCAAGTTATTATAGTATGATATGACAAAAAAATAAACATATGTCAAGAAAAGTGAGATTATTATTTTTCTTATATATAAAAGTTCCCTCGAGAACCACTATATTTTTTTGAACGTAAGTTAAGATCGAGTAATTAATTTTTTTTTCTTATTTATCCTCTATGGGATTAACACAAAATTACTTAATTATTATTTGTAGCTACACTTGATTTGATTTATGACTTGTTTGATGACAAATTTAAAATAAAAAGAAGATATCGAAAGTGAAACATAAGTATTTTTGGTTAATAGTCTAACCACCTTCAATCCATTCAACCTTTAACCAAGTCTACATCTCTTTGAGAACGAGGTCGGTTTTTAATTATAATTTTTATTCATTTTCGTCTTATTGATTGATCGAAATAAAAAAATAAAAAGGGTTTTAAAATTTTAGTAATAGATCAAACCAAGAGAATGAGAAGATGATCTCGAAGAATGATGAATATGTGGTCGGTTTGCGTAGAGAGGAAGAAAACGATGAAGTGAGCTCTGATAGTAGGAGAAAGTCTATACAAAAAGAAAAATTTACTCGTGAATTTAGATGAATAAACAACGATAGAGATATATATAAATCAAGTTATTATAGTATGATATGACAAAGAAACAAACATATGTCAAGAAAAGTGAGATTATTATTTTTCTTATATATGAAAGTTCCCTCGATAACTAATATATTTTTGTGGACGTAAGGTAAGATCGAGTAATTAATATTTTTTCTTCATAAAACAAAATAATCCTATAATTCTAAGAGTATGATTGGATGACTTCCATGAAGGTTCATTAATATCAAATATAGTTGACTATGTGTAATATTTATTAATATTTAAATTTAATTATATTTAGATGATGATTTATTAATGTCTGATAATGACAGCTATTTTTATTTAAATTGTTAAAATAATATAATTGTAAATTTGAGCAAATTTTATATTTTGTTATTATTTTATTGTATATAGTAATAAATGAAAAATAAAAAAAATAAAAATATATAATATTAAATATATACATATATATATAATATATATATATACAATTAAATATATTATGTATATGTATTTATATATAAATATATATAAAATAAAATATATAAGTCTAAATATATTATATACATGTATTTTGTAACGGCCCCAAAATTTTAAATGGAAATGTATATATAAGAAAAATTATAAGTGCGTAAGCGGAATAAAAATTTTGATTAATATCCCTTACACAATGATCCAAACGTACTAAACGTATAAAAGAATAAACTAAATAAAGTAAATACTAGAGATGAATATTATAAATAAAACTATGAAATCTTTAGACATCTACTCGCCGTATTCCTGCGGGACGGGCTCGGGAACCAAATCTTTCTGATCTGAAATGGTTAAGTAAGGAATGAGCTACACTAACCCAGTAAAGACATCACACTATCTCACTGTCACAGAAGTAAAGGTTGGTAGAAAACAAAAACAACAAATGGAGCATAATTTATAACAAACTCATTTATCAATAATAAAAATCTTTACGGTCCACTTACCTCGGTGAGATTCATGAAAACAACTTATGAGAAACAATAACATCATAAACATCATAAGATCATGCACACTTTGTAACATAACACATATCATATTTTTGTATTTCAATCATTAGATAACAAATTTCCCCTTTTATCAATTTACTAGTATCCATGGGGATTCATAGGGGATCCTCGCTATACATGAACCATTCACATTAATAACTTAATTACAAGGCCATCCCCATACCCCGTCCGGTATGGGCGCTAAAACCATTAACCTCAATACCTCGTCCAGTATGAGGGTGAAACGGGCCGTCCCCATACCCCGTCCAGTATGGGTGCCAAAACACATAAAATCTCCATACCCCGTTCGATATGAGAGACAACGTTCCCGGTAGGGTTTCCTATAGACTCGGTCTGTTCACCATCTCCCAGGATATCTAGTTAGGCTGTTGACATTATCCACTTATCAATTCACATACATTTTTTCATTTTTCTTAATCTCAATTATCCAATCAAACATAAACACATAAACCAGTAATGGGCACCAAACAAGGCAACACAACATCGGATTCACAATAATTCAAACTATAATAAATGAAACCGTGATTTATGCATTCAAAACTATAAAATTAATAGATCAGATACCATATTGCATTTAAAACTGTAAAATAAATTAAATAAGAACAGACCGACAAATACATCAGGTTCGGCCTCCATTAGCAATCTTAATTAATTATAATATCTATTAATTCATAAAATACCGTTTTATCATTTATTAAGCTTTAATGCCGTGATAAGAAATAGGGTGAGGGATCCTTACTTGTTTCAGAGTCTGAAATCGGGTTCTCATTGTGCCTACGGGCAGTCCCTAGATTTTCTGAATTTTTTTTGGAAATTGAAACACACTTCTGGTACCTGCACATGTCCCCATAAAACCCCAAATCAGACCCAGGGCTTTTTCAGCAAATTTCAGAATTCCGGCACGGCGTCGATCTGCCTCGGGTTGGCTGTTTCCGGCCGGATTCGGCCAAACTTGCATTGGTTCCTGTGATAAAACACCCCTAGGGCCCTCGGTGGCCCAAAAAATTACAGAAAATCGAGACTTACTGGCGGCGGAGCTCTCGGGTGCGGCGGCTTCTCCGGTGCGAGTCGCGATTTGGTGTTTTGCTCCGGTCAACCTGTAGAGAAAAGGATGGTGGTCACAGTGGTATAAAAATTATATCAAATGGGAACCGGAAAGGGCCTCATCAGAGGCAAAAACTAAGAAAACCCGCGGCAGCGCCGCTGAACTTTGGCGGTGTTTTTCGGCCAATTGGCTGGTGGTTTGGCTTCGATTTGGCCACATAGAGGTTCAACATCGGAAAACGAGCCAAAAGGAGAAATTTTACATCATTTGGCTGCCGAAAAATCATGTGGTGCGGCGGCGGGCGGCGGCGGCCGGTTCCTCTGGTGGCTGGATCGTCTTCTCCGGCGAGGGTTCTGGCGGCTAGGATTTGGGGTTGGGTGTGGATGCGATTATTTATAATATTCTCCTTTTAATATGAGCCGTCCATCATAATTTAATCTGCACCGTCCGATCGCGATTAAATTGGAAATAAATCTGGGCTGTTGACGTGGCGCTATTTTTCTAAATTGCGTTTTGATCCCCAGTTCAAAAACACCCCTAAAACCTAAAATTTCACTCATTTTTTTCAAAGTCATTTTCAATTAATTTCCAAAAATAATTTTACCAAATTTTACCTTTTATTATTATTTCTATTTCTATTAAATTAAATTAAATTAAAAATATATAATTATTACAAAATAAATTAATTATTAAAATGAAGTAAAACTAAAATAATTCCAATAAAATAAAATAAAAAAAATAATAATAAAAGGGTTTGGGTGTTACATATTTATATATAATTAAATTTATAAATATATATGTATGTATATAAATTTATGTATATATGTAATAAAATATGTATAATTAAATATATAAATATATGTATATATAAAATTATTATAATTAAATATATTATATCCATGTATATATAATTAAAAATATAAATATATGAATTTACATATTTATATATAAATAAATAAATAAATAAATATATATATATATATATAATATTTTGAAAAAAAGAAGAAGAATATATATGTATGTATATATTTTCTGTTTTTTTGGAAGAAATAATTTCGTCCCTTCGATTTGATTGACTCGCGAAAGGGTTTTATTGCTTCCCGCTCTGTCGGAACTCCTTCAGGGCTTCCAAGCAATAGTTGGCTTCTCAAGGTTCTCCTGTGTAATTTCTAGAAAGGTTGCTGTTTCTTCTTGCCAACAATGGCGACGGAAATGGATACATCACCTAGCTTCTTCGATCCCGAAGACCTCACCACCAGAGAGCAATATAGACGTTACAGGTACTACTAAACATATTTTCTTTTTTCTTAAATTAAAAGTTCAATTACTTTTTGCTTATACTGATAATGGATGCGAGACTGTTTGTTTGAATTTGTGTATAATTTTTATCTGGAGTGTGCAAATTGTAATAAGACTGTGTGAAGTAGAGAGCTCCAAAGTAGAACTTTTCTTCTTAAATATTAAATGTGGAGTTGCTCCTTCCGATTCGTTAGTTTATCTTGAGCTGTAAAGAAGGAAGTTGTCCCTGGCCTTTCTTTTTGTTTGATATTTTATTAGGATGCTAACTTACACAATTT